TATAGAAACAAATGCTAGCAGTGGGTAGTTTGACTTTAGCCTCGTGGCTAAACTGACCAAAACCAGCATGCCCACTGCCAACACTAGTTTGGAGTTTCCTTCTGCTCATGCTCAGCCTGCAATCCAGTTTGTCTTTAGGATGATGAAGGTATCCTAATCTTCATCAGCTTCTGTAGCTGCAAATTAAAAAAAATGTTTCCTCCCTAACAGGACCCATGGGACTCCAGCTGGACTTGAAGCTGGACCCAGCTGTGTGTCCTTCAAGAGTGACCGGTCTAGACGTCAGCCCATTGATTTTAAAGTCCAGCAGGTGTCTGCTGCAGAGAGGTGAGCGGCTAGTAACATCAACTCTTTGAGAGCTGATTTAACTGCTTGGTGTTGCTGAATGTTGTTATACCTCCTCGTTTATCTGTTTGTGTAAGGTTTGTGGTGGGAGTAAGAGGACTGGGTAGATCTGGTGGACTCTGTACATTTCCATTTGTTTTCTGTTAAAAACACTAAGTAAGCAGGTTGGTGCCACCTATGCAGTGTTTTTCATCTTATGAATATTAAGATTTTTCTGTGTTTTTGTTTCGTTTTTAAGAGTAGAGCTCTGCCAGGTTAGGGTTAGTAGGTCTGACATTCAGCTGCAAATCATTCCAGTGTGGGCTGAAGGCCATCACTCGATGAAGCCAACAGAACCACATCATCTGTGAAAACCAGAGAGGATATTCTGAGACCACCCAAGTGAAAGCCTCGTGGCAATTCTGAACAGAACCGGTGACAAAGGGCAGCCCTGACAGAGTCCATCACCCACTGGGAAAGAGTGCAACTTACTGGTCCTCCTTCTTAAAGATGGGAACCACCACAGTCTGTCAATCTAGAGACACTGCCCCTGATAACCACGCAACATTGTAGAGATGAGTCAACCAACAAAGCGCTAGAATGTCCAGAGTCTTCAGGAACTCAGAACGAACCTCTCTTGAAGGTCTGCTGGAGGTGTTAGTTGAAGATCTCACGGATATATCGACAAAACATTGAGAAACTAAAAACTATAGAGCATCTCATTCATTTAAAAACAAAGTTTATTGTTTTAATTACAAGAAACCTTCCAACACTGTAACTGACTGACCCATTTTAAAACGAAATAAAGCAGGAGGCCCAAACCATTGCACATACTGGTTCTGTATACCACAAACGTTCTGCTACCAAATGACACCTGAGCATCCTGACTCAGGGTTTGAACGATTCATCCCATCGTCTGATCCAAACCATATTGTTAACGTTAGTACAGGAACCTCTCTGTGGTTCGTTTATGACAAAACTGTGAGATTTCAACCTCTTGGATATGAATGTGGTTGTTTACCAGGACACAGATGAGTCAGAGACAGTTAGCAGCTCTGTACTCGTGTCCAACACGATGATCCAAAAAATGGTGAAGTTTGAGAGACATAATTATCTACTTCAAGTATCCGGTCGTTAAGTGATGACGTGATGAATCCTACTTCCGGGCGTAAAGTAGTCTGCGTTTAATATGGCTTTTGTGTTGTTAACATGTTTAATGTTTTGTATTTTCTTCTATTTGATCTCAAAAAGCTCCTAAAACAGTCAGTGATCACTGTTGACCTCCCTCGGCTTTTATTACCGCTAATCATTTATTTAAGCTCAGTTTTTAAAACCTTAGGATGTAACTACAGCCCAGCCCATGCAGCAGTATATGAATGACTAACCTCGTATTGTGGATGGATTATCTCAGTTGTTCTTCTGGCTGAAGTTTGGTCCTTTTACAGCATCCTGCCATGCGATTACATTTGTTCCTGACCACCGAGAACACTCACGTTAACTTTTATTGAGTGGAAAAAAAGTTAGCTTGTTTATATTATGCTAACATAGCTGTGTCGCTAGCGGTCACGTAGCACATCATTAAATAGCAGCTAGCCAAACTTCAGTAACCCTACAAACGTCACTGCTGTTTAGTTTTCTGTCTTCATTTATGTTGGAAGTGATAACAGAGCTGTACGTTTTAATTTGTTTCCAAAACCCTGCAGTCAGGACATGCTATATTGTATTTAGATAGAAGCTAGCAAGCTAACTTCCTGCTAACTTCTAACTTCGTTAAATGTCATAAATTCCGTTTTCATGGATGCCTGGATGTTAAACTCAATTGTTACACCTGGTAGAGCAGAACGCTGATCATTTTATTAAAGATGAAAGACTTTAGACAGTTTAGACAACTCTCAGTAATGCCATAGTGATCGTTTGATATATGGACCTGCAGCGGAGTTTAGACCCAGACACGGCTAGTGACATCAGACTTAACGACCGGATGGTCGTTGAGCTGAGAGAGGAATTAATCATATCTTAGACGATTGATTGTTATTTAACTATTTCATTATGTTTTCTTTACAACTGTCATCCAAAGAGAATTTGTTAGCAGCTGATGTTGGCTTTTAGTTGGGAAAATTAAAGTAATAAGAAACTAAGCTGAGCTGTTGATTTTTAGTACGATCAGCTGAAATCATAGCCATATACGACTAAGAGCAGTCATCTAAATAAATGTCTTTGTCAAAATATCACTGGCTGAATTGATGATAATTCCTCCACAGAGTGGACCAGGAGAGCTCAGAGGTTCAACGTGGTCAGACTGCCCATCAAACACAGCTGGACTCCATATTTATGGTCTGTACATGTACAACAACTACTTCTACATCTATTCTGTTCACAGTCATCTCCATGCTGCTCTTTGTAGACCAGCGGGGTGTCAGTGTGTCCAAAATGGATCTGATGATTTCAGTCTGATTGGCTCATTCATAAAGTATTCTGTTCCAGCTGCTGGAGGACAACATCATCACGTTTGTGAAGAACGAGCTGAAGAAGATCCTGAAGCTTCTGAGTCCAGATTACCCAGAATGCTTAGAGAGTCAGAGGGAGGATGATGAGAAGAGCAGAAGCAGAGAGGCATTTGTGAAGATCACAGTGGACTTCTTGAGGAGACTGAATGAGGAGGAGCTGGCTGACCGTCTGCTGCGCAGTAAGAAACAGATAAAGATTAGAGCTGGTTAATGAATGCTAAATTAACTAATATCTTGCAGATGGACAACATGCATGTGTACTTAATAAATTCTTGACTGAGATTTAATTAATTTGTTTTTTAGAAATTCCCACTGAAGGTTTTCAACATCATTTCAAGTCTGCACTGAAGAAGAAGTTCCAGCATGTGTTTGAGGGCATCGCTAAAGCAGGAAACCCGACCCTTCTGAATCAGATCTACACAGAGCTCCACATCACAGAGGGAGGGACTGCAGAGGTCAATGATGAACATGAGGTCAGACAGATGGAAACAGCATCCAGGAAACCAGACAGACCAGAAACAACCATCAGACAAGAAGACATCTTTAAACTCCCACCTGGAAGAGATGAGCCAATCAGAACTGTGCTGACAAAGGGAGTGGCTGGCATTGGGAAAACTGTCCTGACACAGAAGTTCACCCTGGACTGGGCTGAAGGCAAAGCCAACCAGGACTTCCAGTTCATGTTTCCATTCACTTTCAGAGAGCTGAATGTGCTGAAAGAGGAGAAGTTCAGCTTGGTGGGACTTGTTCATCACTTCTTTACTGAAACCAAAGAAGCAGGAATCTGCAGCTTTGAAGACGTCCAGGTTGTGTTCATCTTTGATGGTCTGGATGAGTGTCGCCTTCCTCTGGACTTCCACAAAACTACAATCCTAACTGATGTTACAGAGTCCACCTCAGTGGATGTGCTGCTGATAAACCTCATCAGGGGGAAACTGCTTCCCTCTGCTCGCCTCTGGATAACCACACGACCTGCAGCAGCCAATCAGATCCCTCCTGGGTTTGTTGACATGGTGACAGAGGTCAGAGGGTTCACTGACCCACAGAAGAATAAGTACTTCAGGAAGAGAATTGGAGATAAGAAGCAGTCCAGCAGGATCATCTCCCACATCAAGACTTCACGAAGCCTCCACATCATGTGCCACATCCCAGTCTTCTGCTGGATCACTGCTACAGTTCTGGAGAATGTGCTGGAAACCAGAGAGGGAGGAGAGCTGCCCAACACCCTGACTGAGATGTACATCCGCTTCCTGGTGGTTCAGGCCAAAGTGAAGAAGGTCAAGTATGATGGAGGAGCTGAGACAGATCCACACTGGAGTCCAGAGAGCAGGAAGATGATTAAGTCTCTGGGAAAACTGGCTTTTGATCAGCTGCAGAAAGGAAACCTGATCTTCTATGAATCAGACCTGACAGAGTGTGGCATCGATATCAGAGCAGCCTCAGTGTACTCGGGAGTGTTCACACAGATCTTTAAAGAGGAGAGAGGACTGTACCAGGACAAGGTGTTCTGCTTCATCCATCTGAGTGTTCAGGAGTTTCTGGCTGCTCTTCATGTCCATCTGACCTTCATCAACTCTGGACTCAATCTGCTGGAAGAACAACAAACAACCTTCAAGAACTCTGACACAAGAGAATCTACAGAGAAAAACTTCTACCAAACTGCTGTGAACAAGGCCTTACAGAGTCCAAATGGACATCTGGACTTGTTCCTCCGCTTCCTCCTGGGTCTTTCACTGCAGACCAATCAGACCCTCCTACGAGGCCTGCTGACACAGACAGGAAGTAGCTCACAGACCAATCAGGAAATGATCCAGTACATCAAGAAGACGCTAAGTGAGAATCTGTCTACAGAGAAAAGCATCAATCTGTTCCACTGTCTGAATGAATTAAATGATCGTTCTCTAGTGGAGGAGATCCAGCAGTCCTTGAGTTCAGGAAGTCTCTCCACAGATAAACTGTCTCCTGCTCAGTGGTCAGCTCTGGTCTTCATCTTACTGTCATCAGAAAAAGATCTGGATGTGTTTGACCTGAATAAATACTCTGCTTCAGAGGAGGCTCTTCTGAGACTGCTACCAGTGGTCAAAGCCTCCAACAGAGCTCTGTAAGTAAATATGTGGTCATTCCTTTTTGAATTTGTGAAATATTCAAAATAATTCAGCTTTTAAAGGTCCTCTCGAGCCTCTCGATTATCAAAGACATGTCTTTAAATTGCTGCATTCATCTTTCCCTGACTAGTCTCCTGGTTCCTGCTGCCATAAACCTTCCCCACAGCATCCTGATGCCACCACTTGTTCACCTGTAGAGATGGTATTGGCCAGGTGATGACCTTTAGCTGGTTTCCTTTAGACACGACATTTGGCATTCTGGCCAAAGAGTTCACATCAGATCTTTGGTCACCTCTCTATTTGCTCTGAAATGCTCTCTCAAAAATGGGACCGTATATAAACAAGCCTGTGCCTTTAAAAATCACAGCCAGTCAACTGGTGGACTCTATTCAACTTGTAGAAATATCTAACAAATGATCAGTGGAAACGGGATACACCTGAGCTTAATTTTGAGTGGCATGGTTGTGAATACTTGCTTATACTTGCTTATACGTTTTATTTATTTATTTTTTGGTTGTTTCATTTTAAATAAGTTTCTGAAAAATTTTCAAGCAGACTTTTTTTTTTTACTTTGTCACTATGGGTTGTAAACAGCACACGGCAGAACCAACCACAGTTTCACAGTTTGCATCCTGCTGTATTTAACACTTTTTCCCGGTTGCTGTACACACACAGTCAGCTGCAGCTCCACAGCTGCAGCTCCACAGCTTGCAGCGTGAGCCGGGATTGCATATGCCGTACAGGTGAGTCCATCTCCCCTACAGCGGCTCAGCGATAGGGAAGTGTGAGTTCAGGTGGCTACCCACGTATCCGTGGCGCTGGTGACGGGGGCCACCCATGTGGCGATTGCAGATGTAAGTAGAGGCTCCCACGTGGCTTGGCAGGTGGCCGGCATGCAGGACCACTTGGCGTGCTGACCTCAGGACACCGCTAGACCGGCCAGCACGGTGACCTCAGGAGTAGCACGACCCTTGCACGCTTCGACCTCCACCACCTGCTTTAGATGCCCCTCGCAGCGCCTCCTCGACCTCCACCTCTGGCTGGAGAGGCCCCTCGCGCTGCCTCTGGCCGGTCCGTGAAGACACACCTGTCGCTCTGCGGCCCTCCTCCGGGGCCATGACGGGTGCAGGCCCCTGCCGGCCAACAGCCGCTCCCACCCAAGGAGTAGTGATGGGTGCGCTGACAGGCTGCATCCTGGCTGGTTTCACCCTGGAGGCCAGAACAGGCGCTGTGCAGTTGAGGGTCATAGGTGGGGGTGGCGGGGGTGGCGGCCAGGAACTAATCTGAGCTGCTAGACTCATGATTCGCTGCATCCGGCACTCGGATCAGTTTTGTAGTTCTTCCCACGGGTGGCGAGACACCGCTGCCTGCCAGCTCGGCCACTTTTTGGGCCAGCTCCTTCCCTGGCTGGCCCGGTCTTGGGTCTGCCACGCCCCCTCCTGGGTTTTGGCGCCACTGTAAACATCACACGGCAGACCCAACCACAGTTTCATGCTTTTCAGCATGCTGCTTTATTTAACAGCCCAACACATACCAACAGCAACAATCTAATGACTAACAGCACAGCCTTTTAAGCCAGCAAGGCATGATTGGTGTGATTCATTTTGGAATGAGGCTCTAACATGACAACTTGGAGAAAACTGAACTGCTGTGAATACTTTCTGCATGCATTCTAGATCTGATCCTTGTCTCCGAGATTTGCTAGCCTCGTGTTTTTCACTCACAATGTTGTCTTCAAGGACAGGAGTTTTGTTCTTTATATCAATTACACATACTTTAGTTAGCTAATCATAGCTCAGTTTATAACTCGCCTTCAGTGTAGTCGGTTATCTCCTTTTTCATTTCTGCTATGAACTTTCCAACAAGTGTGATCATACCAGAAGCTTACTGACCAAAAGCATCTGGTGGAGGTGCAACACTTAAGTGTCCCTTAGAAGAGATTTGTTTGGGCCAAGAAAGTGACCAATAGTGCCTTCTGTTTATGCCAACAGGTATATTTAGACAGAGGTTGATTTGTGTTTTCACCAAGAAAATTTAAAATGTTTTATTAAATTTGTTTTAACTCAAATTTTAGATTCTTTTCTTAACCATGAATTGGGTTGTCTAGGTTCAGCATTTACAGTAATTTAATCTTATCACAAATCTTGCTTTTCAGATTGAGTGGCTGTAACCTTTCAGGGAGAAGCTGTGAAGTTCTGTCTGCTCTCAACTTCCAGTCCTCTAGTCTCCGAGAGCTGGACCTGAGTAACAATGACCTGTGGGATTCAGGAGTGAGGCTTTTCTCTGCAGGACTGAAAAATCCACATTGTAAACTGGAATTTCTCAGGTCAGGAATCAGCCATAAAACATTAAATTGTATTAATATTTAAACACCTACCAATCATATAATTGTCAAATTATTTTTGTTTAACCTTTTGCATAGTGTTAGACTCTGGGTACTGTAGACTTTTTTCATATTTCATATTTTTGCATGTTTAAAAAGTGAATTCATTCACCGTCCATTTAGAGAATTTAGGGCTATTTTGTGCTTGTGATATACTAATTCCCTTTCATTGCTATGAATGATAGATTAAGGAAAAACTGCAGGAAATGCAAAAAAGACCATGAGACATTGAAAATAGTTGCAAGTACCTGGGAATCCCACAGGCAAATGTGGCTTCCAGGAAAGCTGCGACCACAAGTTCTGAGCAGTCAGCCGAATGGGAAGAACAAGATCTGGACAATCAATACCTATGCCCTTCCCCACTGGTGAGATCATCAGTTGGCTAAAGGAGGCGATAGAAAAAGCAGATGAAGACAGCCATAGTGATAGATGTAGCTGAGTGATAGTAATATGAGAAACCTGAAAAATACGACGGGCTGTGAGATGAGCTCAAAAAGATGTCGAGGGTGAAGGAAACAGTGGTTCTCTTGGTAACTGGAGCAGCGAGGGCAGTGACCTCCAAACTGGGCGAGTGGCTCCAGCAGATCCCAGGAATGACGTCTGAGATCTGCGTCCAGAAGATTGCAGTCCTAGGAACAGCAAAGATACTGGGCAGAACCCTCATGGCCTTATCACTGTGAAAGACAAAGCTGGCACCGCTGATTAACAATGGGCATAAAAACCCAACTAATTATACCTCATTATGTGTTCTCAATTGCTGCTGCTATAAATAAAGCTAACATTACCTGAATGCGTGGAATGGGTGCGTGGCATTCAAGCTCAAACAAAAGAAAAAAACAACAACACAGCAACAACAAAAAAGTGTTCACACGTTGTTCTGTCTGCAGTCTGTCAGGCTGTCTGATCACAGAGGAAGGCTGTACGTCTCTGGCCTCAGCTCTGAGCTGCAACCCCTCCCATCTGAGAGAGCTGGACCTGAGTTACAATCATCCAGGAGACTCGGGAATGAAGCTGCTGTCGGCTGGACTTAAGGATCCAGACTGGAGACTGGACACTCTCAGGTATGGAGAGAATGTCTGATAGAGGAGGATGAATTTTAATTTCCTCAGGGAATGATAGAGTTCTCTGATTCTCTCCCTTTCACATATATTCTGCGTGTGAATCAAAGGAACATGTGTTTCGTTCAGCCTGCTATCCCACAGCTTCCCATCCAGTGTGATACTCAGCCTTTCAGCCTTAACTGGAGAGCAGTCTTCTGGTCGAGTCAGTGCTAAATCAGCTGTCGGCCTTCTTCACGTAGTTACTGGGTCTTACAGACAGACGCATCAAACAAACAGACATTTTATCTTCTAAAAGGATTCAGTGTTTCTTTTGATAATAAAAGCCTAAGCACCAAATGAGCAATACATATTTAGCCCTTCTACTTCTCAACATCTGGGGCTCCAACTTATCTCTCGACTCAGTCCTGAGTCCTCCTCACCCGACCCCAACCAGCAATGGCATCTGATAGTTTGGTGGCACGTGTTCGTCCTTTACTGCCGTTGTTATCAATCTGTTTATAAGAGTCCTCAAACATGAGATCTGACAACATCAATCCCAGAAAATTCTTTCATCTCATGTGACAGTTTCCATAATCCTTCCGGTGCCCTGGTAACTGACCCGTCCAGAGCTGTATAATTTGAAATATACATACAACAAGCCGACCCAGGCATTGGACACACCCAATGTGTCCAATTTTTTGCCAAAAGCATAACTAAAGCTATCCTGATCTGGACTGTCATAACTGACGTTGACATCAACTTTTCTGACAGTCCAGCTATTGCATTCCTGGTCAGGTTAGCCCATTTCTGCACATTGTAATGAACATAATTAATACAGCTAAAATCCTTATTGGGTGTTATGCAAAGTACTATAGACTCAAACCCGTTAACTGTTGGGTTTGCCAATTTATAAGTAAGTAACGTGTACTTATTAAGCGCTTTTTGTAGACAGGCCGTCACAAAGAGCTGAACATGAAGGTAAAAATAAACAGAACGCTAAGTATCCAAACTCTCTGTGAATGGTACTCATGGACAAGGCCCATTTAATCAATGGCCCTTGATCAGTGGTTGTTGATCAATGGGGATGAGAATTTGCATAATTATGATACTGACCTCCCAGCCCATTGTTCCTTCAGTGGGCTGGTTTCAGTCATTATGCAAATTTACTGTTTATAAGGTTGAAACCTGCAGTCAGCTGAGACTGAAGACGTCACCTGGATGATGACGAAACGTTTCTCCCACAAAACGCTATGTCCAGATGAACAGAATCAACTTTTGGAGATTTACTTACCTGGATGATTGAGAAATGCATCAAGAAGAACACTAAGTAACAAAACAGACAATATAAACAATACAAAAGGTTAAAGGTAAATAAAAAAGGTAAAAGAAATGAAAGCGATCAACAGAAGGCTTTGAATGAATTTTTATTCATCTGGAACTCCTTTCTGTATCCCTGTTGATTTATATGTGCTGAGAATTTTGTCTAATATGGACAGTCTATTCCAATTTTTGGACTGATGTACCTTTTGTCTTATAACTCTTACTGGCAGTCCCAACCTGACCATTGAGCAAGACACTGACCAGGCACTGGGCAATACCAAAACAAATCAGCCTTTATATCAAAGATCTGGAAGAATTTGGCCATAAAGTAAAATTCATGGTGCCGTCAGGGCGTACGTCCTCTACTTTGGTATCCAGATTTCGATATAAACAACAGGCTCTGCTTACCTTTATTTTGAAGGCTTTCTGTGAGCTGAACCGAAACCAGTTGAAAAACTCCGTCAGGGTCGCCACTTTGTTGTGTTCATTTTTCTTTCTTAAGGAAGGAGAACGACTATCTTTGGAAAGATTTTATTGGCTTCAGCAGTTGAAGTTGCAAGTTATTGCGTGCTGGACCTCAATGTGAACACGCGGTCTGCTTCACAAATAGGATGGCCTTGTAAGCATGAAATACAGTTTTATACCGCGATGTGGTGCTCCTGCCGTCTCCCCTGCGGGTCTTCTCCACTCCGTCCATGTCTGACCTTGTCCTACCATCTGCTCCTTTCCTGAAAAAAAGGAAAAACACCCCCGTAGCCTAACCTTGTTGCACTAATATTATCCAGCAATTCTTAGCTCTTATTTTCTATTGATTATCTAAATCTGGGACATTGTGTTCGGACTTTCTAAGCCCAGAAAAAATATCCCCGTGACTCTAACTCCACAATTGATGTGTAAGCATGTTTGCAAGCTCTACATGTCAGTCTTAATAATTCAATTTAAGAATATTGCTGAATTAATGCGTTTGGCCCTTATTACATGGAGTGCCACATTTGTATGAGCACAATAGAAATGTGTATAAACCATCAAGCAAAAGCAGCTTTATTTAATCATTTTCCATCCTAACACTATCAGTCTGTGTATGAGAGCCATGTAATGTCCATGTGTGCATGCTGACTGTGCTGCTCTGACCCCCCTCCTCCTTTCAGGGTGGAGCCTGCTGGAGAACAATGGTTGACACCAGGTCTGAGGAAGTGTAAGTGTGTTTTTAATGGGATTCATGAAAACAAAGCAGCACACATTCACATCTCTGATCCATCATCTGTTCAATCAATGAACAGATGATGGATCAATAACTACAGCTGGATTGTGTTTGTTCTCTCCATCAGATTCCTGTCAACTCACAGTCGACACAAACACAGTGAACACAAAGCTCCAACTGTCCGACAACAACAGGAAGGTGACACATGTGGAGGAGGTTCAGTCGTATCCTGATCATCCAGACAGATTCGATGTTCGTCCCCAGCTGCTGTGCACAAATGGTCTGACTGGTCGCTGTTACTGGGAGGTCGAATGGGAAGGACTGGTTGATATATCAGTGAGTTACAGAAGAATCAGAAGGAAAGGAGAGACGTACAACTGTGTTTTTGGATACAACGATCAGTCCTGGAGTCTGGACTGCATTAAAGATGGTCCTGATGCTGTCTGTCACAATAACAATCGAGCATCCATCTCCTCCTCCTCCTCCTCCTCCTCCGTCTCTAACAGAGTAGCAGTGTATGTGGACTGTCCTGCTGGCACTCTGTCCTTCTACAGAGTCTCCTCTGACACTCTGATCCACCTCCACACCTTCAACACCACATTCACTGATACTCTTTATCCTGGGTTTTGGTTAGAAAGTGGTGCCTCAGTGTGTCTGTGCTGAGTGTAAAGAGGGTCGTCTTGTTAGAGAAACACTGACTGTTGAACAGTTCAGTCTGTACATGTCTGTCTCTTTCACTCACAAACGATTTTCAATTCTTTTTTTTATTTAGTTTATTGCACCTTTTTCCAATTTATGTAGTTACTACGGACTTAATGCATACATATTATTACAATTTGGGATGTAATGGTTGTATTGATGTATAGCAACTTGAAAACTAACTTACCTTAAATATGTTTATTTGCAATCTCGAGATTTGCTGCAGCTTGAATTACTTTCTACTGAGTTGTAGCAGCACATTTTCACGTGGTGTTCTCTGTGTGTTTGAACCAAGTTATGTAATATTTGCATAATTTGAGTTATTATATATTATGTCATGGACATGTATATGCATGCATGCATGTGTAGGTTTATCGTATTAGATATTGTTTGAGTTTATATTAGTTGAAGCTGCCTCCACCAGTGTGTGAATGCGAGAGAGAATGAATAGTGGTATTGTAAAGCGCTTTGGGTGCCTAGAAAAGCGCTATATAAATCCAATCCATTATTATTATTATTGAACCACTGCTGGTGTGACATATATTTAGTCTAATGGCAACATATGTTACTACAGACTGCTGGCAACACTGAGCATTGAGGTGACAATAAACTAGCTGACTGTGACAGCCTCTTGTCCTCCTTCCTGTATTCTGACCGATACACCATCTTGTTAGCTGAACCTAAAAGAACCAGCCCTCGCCTACTACTTACATATGGTGTCCAAGGTGTGCCAAAATTGGGCCGGGCTGGAAACACCTAAACATTTATTAAAAGTGCTATAATTTTTTTACTTTTTCACTTTAGAAACAGAAATTTTTGCACAGGTGATCTTTATATGTTCATTACTGAATTTCTGGATTAAAATCTGAACTAAAGCATATTTTTAAAAGGTTTTTATGCTGGAAAAAATAAATAAATTAGGTGAGGAAAAAATCTATTTAATGTTTCTGTGTTCCAGCCTCGGTAACTTTGACACAGTAACATCAGCTGCAATTTTTACATCTCTGATGAAATCTCACAATTTTATTTATACAGCGCCAAATCACACAAACAGTCGCCTCAAGGTGCTTTATATTGTAAGGTCGACCCTACAATAACACATACAGAGAAAAACCCAACAATCAATGACCCCCTATGAGCAAGCAATAAAAAGTGTGATTAATGCAGAGAGGTCTATTAACACCTAGTGAGTGAGAAAGGCTGAAGGCTCTGCCTCCCATTCTACTTTTAAATACTCTAGGAACAACAAGTAGGCCTGCAGAGCGAGAGCGAAGTGCTCTAATAGGGTGATATGGTACTACAAGGTCATTAAGATGAGATGGGGCCTGATTATTTAAGACCTTGTATGTGAGGAGCAGGATTTTGAATTCTGGATTTAACAGGAAGCCAAAACAGGAGAAATCTGCTCTCTCTTTCTAGTCCCTGTCAGGACTCTTGCTGCAGCATTTTGGATCAGCTGAAGGCTTTTCAGGGAGTTTTTAGGACTTCCTGATAATAATGAATTACAGTCGTCCAGCCTGGAGGTAATAAATGCATGAACTAGTTTTTCAGCGTCACTCTGAGACAGGATATTTCTAATTTTAGAGATGTTGCACAAATGGAAGAAAGCAGTCTTACATATTTGTTTAATATGTGCATTGAAGGACATGTCCTGGTCAAAAATGACTCCAAGGTTCCTCACAGCGTTACTGGAGGCCAAGGTAATGCCATCCAGAGTAAGAATCTGGTTAGATACCATATTTCTAAGATTTTCAGGGCCGAGTACAATAACCTCAGTTTGATCTGAATTAAGAAGCAGAAAGTTAGCGGCCATCCAGGTCTTTATGTCTTTAAGACATTCCTGCAGTTTAACTCATTGGTGTGTGTCATCTGGCTTCATGGACAGATAGAGCTGGGTGTCATCTGCATAGCAGTGAAAATGTATGCTATGTCTTCTAATGATGCTGCCTAAGGGAAGCATGTATAATGTAAACAGAATCGGTCCTAGCACTGAACCCTGTGGAACTCCATAATTAACCTCAGTGTGTGAAAAGGACTCTCTGTGCTTGTTTCTGAGACATGAGTTTGTTTCTGAGGCATGAGTTTTTGAGTGTGTTCATATTTAGACAGTATTCTGCCCTCACTAGGGTGTAAAGCTGGTTTCTAGCTTGGCAGATAGCTAACAGGTCCACAATAAACATCCAGGAGTCAGCGGATACGTTTTAGATGTTTACTGTTGAAGCACTGTAAAACTGGTACAGAAACAAAAATAAAATATTACATTTCTGCTGTAATTGTATTTTCTTTACAACATCAAACATTAAGCCATGCACTACGATGTATATAACACATAAACACAAACTTATCCAAACCCTTTCACTGGTTATCAGGCTCACGCGTTTAGCGATTAGCTTAATGCTAACATTACATGGGAAATCCCATAGACAGGCTAACGTGTTAGCATCGCGGCCGTTTTTCCTCACAAAAGAACCTCTAAACTGCTACACAAAACTATCGCGGGAAAGCTTACAAAACAGATAGCAACTACTTACAGGCATGTGCTCTCTCAGGCTCAGCAAGAAAAAGTGAACAAAAAGTGGAACAGACGACAGTTTGTCTAAATGACTGTTTTTCACTGGTGAGGTACTACGGCAAGTCTGCTGGTACAAAAAACACACACCCAAATGATCATGCCTGCCTTAAAGGGGCAGCACAGACAGTGTGCATCTGTCTGCTGAAACTGTGATGGTGAACCTGAGGTGATGGTCAACAAAGGCAAATATACATCAATATAAAGCAATATTGACGTAATGTCTTTACCCCCTGCAGCGTGTGGACGCTGTGCACGCAATCACCTTATTCACTGTAGTAAACATGCACCGCTAGCTCACGTGACTGACTGTCTCCATGGTTACATCGTATATTATTAGCTATGTAAACAGCTTCCAAAGACGCCGCCATAGCTCTCTGCAGCTGTAACACTTTCACGATTTGCAAATCATTTCACGTTTTTGATAGTTATGAAGACAGAATATGTTTTTAAGGTCATGCTAGGCGGTTGCTATGGTGGTTGCTGCGGACTTGGCTGGACCGCGTCCGATTCCTGTTATTAGCTGTTGCTGTTTAATTTTTTACATTGTTACCATGTCATGAATAAGGTTCACCTGCTGGGGTTTGATGGCTCAGCTGGACAATACAGTCAAAGTTCATTCATCATATGCAGGAATCCTAATTGGATTTTTGTTTTCACTCATATTTTTGAACCAAATATTGAAAACAAGTCTGACAGACTGGATACCTGGTCAGGTGTACATTACCTTTCACTCAAGCATCCCAGGACAGAGCCCTGCCCCACCATGAGCCTGGGTGGATACGTGGTTATAATATAAAAGGACTGATACTGAATATGAATATGTCATGAAAATCGAATTATAATATGAATTCCTGGGTGTTTGTTATATCCAGCAAGAGTAATATTGATTACATATGTCTGAAACCCTAACCCTAGCTCAACAGACCACAATGCCCTGGACTGTCAGTATTATTAGATGCTGTGAACATAAATAGCTTTGATCACAGTTTATGTTGTAAAGAGAAGGAATATTGGAAAAAAGATCAACATTGTGATATTATTTCTTCCAAACTGACCAGAAACATGCTTGTCAGACTCTCACAGCAAAGGATCAGACTCACTGTGCATGACGGCTCAGGCCAATGATGTCTGTTAGATTGTCAGTTGTTTAGTACTTCTGTACAGTTAGGGTCACGTCTCTATTTCAGAATAATTAATATGCAGAAAACACTAAAAGTTGGTTGTCTTCCAATATTCTAGCATAATTAAAAAAACTTTGACTTTGTAAGTACATATTATTAGTCCTAATGCCAGCATGATTCTTCATAACTCCTGCTTTGAAATACTGAACTTTAAATTTACCTGATGAAAGATCATTCACAGTGGCACTCTATCAGGATCATTCTGACTGTAAGATCACTGTATTAATCTGAATCCTTCTGCAATGTGCTGTGAATGAATGCTGATGCAACTCACTGTGGGAAAGCTGTTAATAAAAGGAATCTGTGACACATGCAACACATTCACAGAGGAAGAGGACACAAAGGGAGGACACGCAGAGGCTGTGTTGAAGTCAGAAATCCAAATCTTTAGTCAAAAACAGGCGGCGGTTACAAACAGGAAGACAAGCAGTCCATCAAACAGTCTACAGGGTCAAACATACAGAGAATTCAAACAGCAGTAAAAAAATAACTGGACACTGAAAAACAAAGCAATGTGAGACGCAATAAAAGGAAGCAGCGCAGTATATTCACTGAATTATCATCAATTACAACAGAGAAAAACGACGATTTCTAAGGATTATTTTCTTAAATGCAGTTAGAGTGTGGCTGGTAAAGATGGAAACATACAGAATGTAAACTGTGTGAGTTTGTGAACTTTGTTAGTAACAAATGAGAAAAAAGAGACAAAAACTCAGTATTCATTAATAATTAGAAAGCATCTAAACATTCTGGTCATGGATTTTTACAGTCTTAGTTCCGCTTGCTGTCATCATTATAATCATCATGATCAATGGCGAGGTCCTGAGGCGGGCGGGGCTGTCTCTGGTGATGTCACCATGAAGGAACAGCATCTGGCACGTGTTGCTGAAACATCCCAGTACACTGGTGTCGTTTCCTCTCCAGCTGTTTGACATGTGACACTTGAACATTAAGGGGAAGAAGAAGAAACAGTGTTAGGTCAGGTGACCACATGGTTTCTACAGTAACTGACAGGAAGTAACCAGGCCGTTAGAAATGGATGGCATGTGTTTAGAGTTACTGGAGTTGGGTAACTGTACTTACCAAAAACAGAAGCACACAGATGAACAAAGCTGCTGAATGTTGCAGGAACATGCTCATGTGCGGTGGTCATTCAGTGCTGCAGGTTAGACAGTCCAAGACTGATATGCTGCCCATCTGAGAGTTTGAAAACACACATGCAAAGATTTATTTTGTGTTCCAGCCAAAGTTGGATGTTCATTTTTGTCCTTTAAAATGTTTGTGTAGTTGAAAGCACTAACATTTAAGGATGACTCTGATCGTCTCCTTTAAAGGGGAGACAAGCGTATCCACTGATCCACGTCACTTTACCTGGATGATGACTCCTCCCCCCTCACTCAGAAACACTCCTAATATAACCAAGCAAATAAATAATATTGAAGATTTACTTACATCATTTCTACATCATTTTCTCTGCTTTGTCTAACCTCTGCAGAGCCCCTGTCAAGAAAAACATATCTGTAAGCATAAAACAAATCTACATTCATAACACGTCACTGGACAAACCTCGGTCAGCTGATTTCCTCTGTGCAGTGCAGACGAGCATCAGTCAGCGAGTCACGGTGGTGAGATGGACTGGTGCCCTTTGTGACTCTGCTGGTTCTTCTGAGGAAACACCACCGTCTCTCCACACTGTCACCATCTGTGAGCACAAACTGCTGCTCTGCCAGCATGTAGGAATCACATGTCACACACAGGGGTGAAGAAACATCAGAGCTCAACTTTGGAGACTTTAGATGTAAACAGATCAAAGCAGCTCTTAGTTTCAGCAATCAGACAAACAATGATACCAAACTGATTCTGTATGAATACAATAAAGTCTTTTCAACACAGGTGCCAAATTAATTTATTAAAACTAATACAGATATATATATGATAAATTAGTTTGCTAAATTACAAGAATATTTTTTTATTTAACAATTGCAACTGCAAGAAATTAAATATTGAACAAAAATATATCGTCACATTCTTCATTCTCAAATTCTAATTTCACAAAGTAAATTTTTGATTAACAGAAAAAATGAATTACAAAAAATAATATTTAGTATATTATAAAATATTCTGCAACCATGAGTCAGAATCTTCATGACAGTACTGTGGACTTACTGCTTGTCTAATAGTGATAAACTTCAGGGGAGATCATGATGACAGAAAACTGTAAACAGCACTCTGAAGTCTGAAGCTTCTTGTTTCTGTGACCTCAGCACGCTGACACACCTGAACTTACTACATATTTTAAAAAGCGATGATTACAGGTGTAAGGTTCTTTTGATTTGGAAGGGAAAATAAGCGCAGACAGAGTCCCCGGAGGTGTCCAAAAAGTGATTTATTAAGCACACACAGATTATGCAGTGTGGGAAGGCGGTCTTCGCCTCTCTGCTCGTTTACAGAAAGCTTTATAGCCATTATGACGTCAGGACAATTCCTAGAACTCATCTTCTCAGAACAACAACACTTTCCCAGGCTTGAAACCAGATGTTTCCAATCATCGGTATTTGGGAGCATAACCAATTGTGTACACGAGTGTGCAGTTTTGTGAGATTGTAGGTCCAGGCCAACGAAAGTTCAAGTGTCCTTATCTGACTTACTGTGGACCGCCTGGAGCTGCAGCTATGCTGGTGCGTTTGCATGATAGAGTATTGTATCTAGAATGTGTTTTATTCTGCGTGTTCTGGAATACAAGATTATTCAGTAACCACACCGTTTGCAGATTTACTAAATGATAAATGATACATGATAATATTGATGATAAACTGATGATAAGTGATGCGGACTAATGAAGTAATGATGAAATAATGACAGTGCATGTAAATGATAACACAGTGACCGTAAAATAACATTCCTTGACCTGACACAGGGAAGAAACTTCTCTTTTTCATCCGTTTAATCAAACATTTGATGCCTCAGCTGTCTCAGTCCTGTAGCAAATACAACTAACCTGAGGCTTGGATTTGGCAGCAGGAGCCCCTGTACATCCTTCTCAGCAGCACACATGTGGGGCCCATTTAATCCCACTTCTTCCTGAGCTTTGCTTCATCACAAGACTAAAGGTGGCATCCCATGTCACGGTCTGATCATCATCCAACTGGAGAAGAAACATTTACAGACCTCCTGGTTTTGTTTTCTGATCCTGCAAAAAGACCGAGGACAACAAAACCCAGAGAACACGAGATACACAACATCCAACAGACTCAACAGCCTCCATAAATGAAGAGCAGCAGGTTGGTCCAGGTATACCAGATATGAGCATACTTCACATTACTGTGTATGAATAATAATCAAGAGACAAACTTTGAAGATGCAGAGCATGATGTCCCATCATCAGACTGCAAACAAACATCCACCAGGCTTCTTTGCTGTCAGAGGTGATGGTTCTCCCATCAGGGATCAGTAGAGTGTATTAACCTGTGGTATAAGCAGCAGTCACTGAAATATTACTGTTTCAGATAAGGCTGCTCCTCCAGCCTCAACAATAATCTGACTCTCCAGTCACAAACAAAAAGCTCCAGCTGGGAGATAGAAAACGCTGTCTGGGTCTTGCTGGATGTTGCTGGGCAGAGTCCCACATTAGCAGAGTGCTTCTTGGTCCCACTGACCCATGTGGAGAGTGACTGTGGAGAACTGTTCTGGCAAACGGAAAAGAGAATTCAAATGACAAAAAGCCAAAACGGGATTTCCACAAAGACTCTCTTGGAATCAGCAAATCCTTGATTCATTTTACAATGAAATATGACCAGTCTCCTTAAATGTCAGCAGTTAGGATCTGATGTGATTTACAGCTTCACACAGCACATTTGTCCAGACTGTCAGGTAAACATAGAATTCATCTCAGGTAAATGACTCAGAGTAGAGATTCAGTAGGAAAGATTGCAGGCTCTAATATTATTACCACACAATCCACACCAACAGCTCAGATTTCTACAAGTATTTAACCCTCATAATGTCGTCCCGATTTCCACACACCTGTGCTCCTCAGGGGTCAAAAATGTCCCCACTTCATTTGAGTGTTTTTTAAAGTATGAAGTGCCAATCAATTCAGTGTTACATCTTAGCTTTACTTAAGACCAACACATTAACACAACATTTACCCAACATTTGACATTTTAGGGCCACCAGACCTTGTTTACATAAAGTACACTCTGTTTTTGAGCGAAAATAAAACGAGACAATAAAATATTTAAGTGTTTAGATCAGTCAAAGGAGCTTGCAAAGAAAAGCGTCTGGACTTCTTTAAGTTGCTTGAAGACGTTTCACCTCTCATCCGAGAAGCTTCTTCAGTTCTAAGGTCAAATGGTGGAGAGTCCCAGATATAAACCTAGTGGGAGTTTCCCCCCACAGAGGGACAAAAGGACCCCCTGATGATCCTCTAATCGCCTGAGCCAAGGTGTGAAACTGGGTGTGGGTCCCAATCAGGCAGAGTTTCGGGTGTGTTCATTGTGAAACCTGGCCCCACCTTATCATGCGAATTCCTGAGATCAGATGGCCCAGGATGTGAGTGGGCGTTAAGGCGTCTGGGAAGGGATCTCAAAACTGGATTATAGATGGCAGAGAGTTGGTGTCGTAAACCCCGCCTCTGTTCAAAGATGGTCGCTCACAGTGGACATAGATCATTTTGGCTATTTGTCGAACTACAGAGTGCTGTATGTGTGACAGGTTGAATGACTATTGCATATAAAACTGTTCAGTTAATACTAATTCATATCAGTTGATATAAGGACGAAAATAATGTAAATATGGTAAGAAAATGGTTAAGAGTTTATTATTTTTCATGTTATATTAATGGCTTTCATGTTACTTAAGAGAACTGCAATCTATACATCAGTGATCGGCTAGTAAGCCTTTTCTGGGATCGATTAGTAGTGTCTCTATTCTCCACTAGGGGGCTTTCGCGCGTTCTCCTCACTGCAATAAACTACTGCATGAGAGACGCAAGTCATAATCACTCTCGTGATTCTTTTCCCCCTGTTTTCAGGTAAAAGTGTTTAAAAGTTGATATATTTCCAATGTGTACACTGTTAAGATATTTAAGAGGTAATCCTTCATTGTTTTGTAAGCGTTAAAAGCATTACATTGCAGTTTTGTTCACATATACGTGGCGGTTTTGAGCTGTGTTTTGTACTGTGTAATGGCCATTAAGATAACGGCAGGAGCTAAAAACACCGCGATTGTCAGCCATTCTGTCAGGAAACCTGCTCAAGTATATGTATAGTCAGCACTTTAGTATTTCGGTTTATTATTTAGTGTTTTTCTTCCACCATGTGACATTTAGCAGTACAGAATGTGAAACGTTTCTGCTCATTTTCACTGCAATAAACTACTGCATGAGAGACGCAAGTCATAATCACTCTCGTGATTCTTTTCCCCCTGTTTTCAGGGGTGTAACATTTGGAGGCACCGCTGGCATAGCTGCTTAGATGTCCGGTGTCCACAATCTGCACATCGTAGTCCAAGCCAGCTAAATCCCCCCACTACAACCCAGGCAGACTGCAGTGAGGAAAGTGTTGCTGTCGAGGCGAACTGGTAGCTGTGTTTTAGCGCATGTTTCCTGAGGCCAGCCAGAGATCATCAGGGGCTGCAAAAGCGACTCAGCTCAGCGTCACCCGTACATGCAAAATTCTTCCAGCCTACTGCCACAATGTCTTCGGTGGAAGAGCTGCGAGAAGAGGTTGTGCGTGAAATGCACACTCTGTCCAAAGACCAACTAGTGTCAATCTGCGAGTTCCTTGGCATTGCAGAGAAAATAGATGTTAGCAGAAAAACACGACTGTCACTGCTAACACACATCCAAATACACATTGAGAGAGAAGGTATAACAGTACTTGAGGATGAAGGAATGTCAGAACTGTTGTTGCTTAATGATAAGATTGCTGAAATAATGAAAGAGACAATTGTTGAGACTGAACCAAATGCAAATGAAGAGGGTGATTCAGGACACAGAGAGCAACCAAATACTGCAACCTCACTGGTAACAGAGACAGCTAATGCAGTTAACACAGCGGTTATTTCTCACTCCCAAGGTAATCGCTTTGTCCCTAACTCATCTGTGTCAAGTACCCCCCAACGACCAAGCCCTTACTGGCAGAAAGATTTCAAAATATCAGGCCAGATTGGCGAACCAGGTCGAAAAGACAAACTGACATTTTCCAGTCTTGCTCACCAGATCGAAAATGGACTGAGCAGAGGTTACTCAGAGCTTGACATTGTAGATGCTGTCATCAGAGCTATCTTGCCAGGTCTACAACTACGAAGCTATTTGGAGGGAAAAGCTCAACTCACCCTTCCGACTCTACGCCGCATACTGCGCTCCCATTTCCAGGAGAAGAGCGCCACCGAACTGTATAAACAACTTGCCTCTGAGGTACAGACCCCAAAAGAGACTGCTCAAAGCTTCCTGATGAGAGTTTTAGATCTAAAGCAGAAAGTCTTATTTGCTTCCCAAGAATCTGAGTCAGGACTCAAATACGACCCAGCTTTAGTCCAGCGTATGTGTTTGCACACCATACTCACAGGCTTCCAGAGTGACAGTGTCAGGATAGATATGCA